ACTGATCTGATCAATCATTGAAGAGAAAGATCTGCTACTCAATTAGATGTATGTTAAGAGATTATCAAACTCGTGATTATTTTGTATATTAACCAAATTATAATTTGTACAAATAACATACAAGTAGCCAACAAAATATCACATACAAACAAGAAAAATACTCCACTCGTTAAGTTTCATCACTTGCAATGAAGTTTGTAGGGTCTAAAAGACATACAATACAACTTTATGGGTACAAATGTACAGAAACAATTTTGGAGGAGAAAATTTGAAAATTGGAATCTCCTTCCATCTGCCAAATGCGTGTAGGTGAACGCGTTGAGCTGTCAACATCAATGGCAAGAAAATTAAAAACAAAAAGGTTAAAAAGGGGTAGTAAAATGTCATTTGTTAAAACAAGAGGGGTTGATTTTGTATTTTCAAACATTATATAAACGTCCCCGCTTTCTATGTTTTTTTATTACACATAACAGATCTCTCACAAGAAGCACTCTCCGAACGCGGGATCTAACAGGTAACATTTCCGGTTCATGATTATGATTTATGTCTTAATTTGACTCGATGTATGGTTTTTTCGGTTAATTTTTGATGAATTACTTTGGTTCATGACCTAGATGAACCGATCTCTTGTTTATTCATTAGATGTGTGGTCAATTGCTATGTTTATATGTTCAGATCCGCTAGATTTGTTTAATTAAGTGTTCATCGAAGGATATTAGGTTTTTAGTCATTATTGAGCTAAATTTTTAGTTGTCGGTTATGAATCGAAAGTGTTCCATTTAGATCTGTGCAGTTTGTATTGTTTAATTTATGTGATCAAGGAATTTTCGTCAAAATATTGTTCGTCTCTCGGATTCAAACTAGTTAAGTTACTGGTTTTCTAGTTGCTTATATCTGAATCAGATCTGAATGTTTACATAAAATAAGCGAAGTTGTCCAGTTTGAGGACAGGACTAGCAATGTTCTTACTGGACTGTTGCGTGCTTGATTTTATTACATCTATAACCTAAAATTTTCCCCTCTGCTTATAACATTGTCGCATGCAGCTTCTGTTTCATGTTAGTTATGTCCATTACGAGATTTCATCTACGATTGGTCTCTAGGATCTGTAGTTAGGTAGAGTGGGGGATGCGGACGAGAAGGAGAAAACCTTGGGTAGCTTGTCTGTGATGATCATCACGAATGCAAATCTGGATGGATCTTTTGGCAATTTGTCACTCTTTTCTTTAGACAAGAGTAGTAATTCTGTGTCTCTTGGATTGTTGTGTGTTTGTTTGTCGGCTGATAAAGTTCCATGAAGTTAGAAGTCATACAATGGTGTGGCTGATAAATATACTCCATGGCTTTTGTGGACAACAGGAAATAGAATGTCATTCTATGACACCGGATATTCAATTTAAGTTGAAATTACTTTTCCTCTACTAGCAAAATGTAATATTTGAGCTTTATAAATGCATCCATGGACCCTTCTTTTAATGTTTTTTTAGTTACTACGAGACTTGAAGCTTATTCGGAATCCTGATCTACAGGAACGCAAGAAGATGGTGAAGATCTGCTGCATTGGAGCTGGGTATGTTGGAGGCCCCACCATGGCTGTCATAGCACTCAAGTGCCCAGATGTCCAAGTGGCAGTAGTTGATATATCTGTACCTCGCATCACAGCCTGGAATAGTGACCAGCTCCCCATCTATGAGCCAGGCCTTGATGATGTTGTGAAGCAGTGTCGAGGCAAGAACCTCTTCTTCAGCACTGATGTAGAGAAACATGTTTGTGAGGCTGACATAGTATTTGTTTCGGTCAACACCCCAACAAAGACACGTGGTCTTGGTGCTGGTAAAGCTGCCGATCTCACATACTGGGAAAGTGCTGCTCGCATGATTGCTGATGTTTCAAAATCAGACAAAATTGTAGTTGAGAAATCAACTGTCCCGGTGAAAACAGCTGAGGCAATTGAAAAAATTCTGACCCATAACAGCAAAGGAATTAACTTCCAAATTCTTTCCAACCCGGAATTCCTTGCTGAGGGGACTGCTATTCAAGATCTTTTCAAACCTGACAGGGTCCTCATTGGTGGCAGGGAAACCCCAGGAGGCCAGAAAGCAATCAAAACATTGAAGGATGTGTATGCTCACTGGGTCCCTGAAGAAAATATCATCACAACCAATTTGTGGTCTGCAGAGCTATCAAAACTTGCCGCCAATGCCTTCTTGGCACAGAGAATCTCTTCTGTTAATGCCATGTCAGCTCTCTGTGAAGCAACAGGTGCAAATGTTAGCCAGGTTGCTTATGCAGTTGGAAAAGATACTAGAATTGGTCCAAAGTTCTTGAATGCCAGTGTCGGCTTTGGCGGTTCTTGCTTCCAGAAGGACATTTTGAACTTGGTTTACATCTGTGAGTGCAATGGCCTCCCTGAAGTGGCTGAATACTGGAAACAAGTTATAAAGATCAATGATTACCAAAAGACCCGTTTCGTGAACCGTGTTGTAGCCTCCATGTTTAACACGGTGTCAAACAAGAAAATTGCCATCCTTGGATTTGCCTTCAAGAAGGATACAGGTGACACCCGAGAAACCCCAGCCATTGATGTTTGCAAGGGTTTGCTAGGTGACAAAGCTCTGTTAAGCATCTATGATCCACAAGTCACTGAGGATCAGATCCAAAGAGACCTTTCCATGAAGAAGTTCGACTGGGACCATCCTCTTCACCTCCAGCCAATGAGCCCCACCACCGTGAAACAAGTAGGTGTCGTTTGGGATGCTTATGAAGCCACCAAGGATGCCCATGGTATCTGTATCCTGACCGAGTGGGATGAGTTCAAAAATCTAGATTTCCAGAGGATATACGACAACATGCAGAAGCCTGCTTTTGTGTTTGATGGGAGGAATGTTGTTGACAGCGAAAAACTGAGACAAATTGGTTTCATTGTTTACTCAATTGGTAAGCCACTGGATGCCTGGCTCAAGGACATGCCTGCTTTGGTCTAGAGGAAGAAGAATTTGCTTTGATGATTTGGCTTGCGGTGGAACCACTGAAGAGAGCATGCACTAGTCGGTTCAATTCTTCACTATTTTTGGCTGGTCAGTTCTTTTATTCTTAAATTTGTTCCTTGTAGTGAAAAAACAATTATTTTGGGTTCCCATACATGTTTACTACGCTTTATGTTCCTCCTATGTTGTATTCGATGATATTGTTACATTTTTCAACTTCCCTGAACCTTAATATGACCACCTTTTGTTCCAATAGCTGTTCAAAGATTTTGTAATTTGAGCAGGTACAGTCTCAGCTTTGCTTTATATTTTAAGGCCAATGTAGTGAGGCTATGGCTATGTATGGGGGTTCCCATGACAACCTTGCCTTAGGTTTTGGTTTCAGTTTTACCTATCTCCTGTTGCACAGATGTATTGACATTTGACAGTGATGACCTTCAACTTGTGATGTGGACTGCATACAGTCCTTGCTGTTCTCTTGCAACAAAGCTGTATTAGAAAATCTCCAACAAATTCTTCAAAATGGAAATTTGGGTAATTTTTTGCTTCAGATTCTCCATTTTTTTTCCAAAATGGAGAAGGTATTTCTCCGAATTTAGAGAAATCTCCAAAAATGATTATCATGAGAGATAAATGGTTTTTTATTATATTCCACCAATAAGAAACCTTGAAATGAATTGTTTAGGAGAAACAAATAATGTTTTATTGAATGCATGAAATATTTTAATGACATAATCTCCAAAATAGAGAAGCTATGGAAGTTGAATACAATTTTTCTTGTCGAGATTTTAAACTTTGATTCTCTAATTTGGAGAATTTGTCAGAGATGCTCGTAGATTCTTCCGTTTCCACTTCATTTTCTTCTCATAGGAAGGAAATTCTGTTACAGATATCATGGCAAGGAATAATTAGTAATCTTTGTTTCTCTTGCATCCCCAACCATTTTAAGCTAAGCCAAGTACAACTATAAAGGAACTACAAAATGGACATTTAAAACAGAAGCAAGAATAAACTTTGTGTTCTTTAATTCTTTTTAAGACAAATTGCAATAATAACATTTTTAAAACAAAATAGAACACACCTTAGGTCTTTTTAGAGAACCAACTTTTTAAGAGTTTTGGCCTTTTGGGGGATATAAGCAAACTTTGCTAAAAGTGGAAGATTTCAATTACCTTGTACTTTTACCCAGAAATTCTGATTTGGCACTGGTTTATTTCATGTGGCAAAGTTTTTTTTTAGATGCCATATAAGCAACTCAAATAATAATTGTTGTAAAACTCGAAACGAAATCGTACCAAAAACAATCAAAAATCGAAGCTCCAAATAAGAATTGTATCGATTTAAGTGGAAAACGGATTGATTATCTACAAGAACTTCGACGAACAAATAATCCAATAATCGGAAAAACCCAACACACATACGCGAATAAATTGCAGAAAGTAAAAGAGGGAAAACGACAATGTAATTACGTGGAAAACCCAAAACGGAAAAAAACTATGGACGGAGGAAACCACCGAGAAGTCCACTATCGAAATGTTAAGTTCAATGCTTGGAATGAAATTACGATGGAGATGCTATACAAATGAAAGAACCGGGATGCGAGGATTTATGATTCGAGGGACCCCTTTAACTCTCTTTAAAAAGAGACCTTTATAGAGAGAGAGGCTTTGGTAAGATTCTATCACCTTAATTTTTGTTGTTAAGGTTTTGACACTTTTTCCTTCGACCCTCTATTTACATGGCGAAGAAAGGGAAAGGCTCTTGCTCGAATGGATGAACGTCATGAGACAGTTTGGTTCCATTCTAACGTCAGTGTTAAAGGGAGAATTGCGACGAGCCAACCTAGTACGAAAGTACTGGACATTCAGCTAGACATTCACAAATTCACTTCTCTTTTAAGTTCCAATAAATATATTATACTCTTCTAGACTGAGTTCAGTGTCTTGAGGATGGCGCTAGTATTCGCTAATTCCTCTTATGGTGTTATCTAATTGTCTCTAGTTTACGAGCCTATCATGCCATGATGGGATTGGTTGCCTGAACAATAATTTTATATTAAGCTAAAGAATGTCGAAATGACAAGAGGCAGCATCAACTTATTGATATACAGGATTTATGTTGGCAAAATTGGAATCTTATATTAGAATATGTTTTCCAGTTCATGGGTAAACTCAAGACTTAACAAGTGGCAGAAAAGCCCCTTCCACTGTGACCTAAATTGTTGACACCAGTTTCTGTTTATCAGAAAGAAAGCTATATACTTACACTTGAACTGAACAAATAAAGCTCAAGTACAATGGACAGACCCAGCTGCAGCAGGAAAATCCCAGCAACAATCCAGAACCACTTTTCACCTGCTGACACTATATGGGTTCGCAGATTCGATGCCACAAACATTGCTGACATGAATCCAGCAACACCCGCCACCACCCATCTGAACATTTCCACCGGAATCATAGACAGGAACTGCAATTGATCCCAAACAATTGTCTATCAGCCACAAAAACACATTCAACCATTGCCCAACAATACTTCTCCAAGAAGGAACAAAAAAGATCATATAATAAACTCCACCTAATAATATTCCAATGAGTTGAACAAATCCAGGAAGCAGAATCTTACCACTGCCGGAATGAAGATAAAGAGGGAGTAGCCATAGAGGCAGACTAGTTGAATTAAGCCCAAAGGTGCAGATAAGTACTTGAGAATTATGTACAAACTGATGGGGACAAAAACGGCATAGGCATACAACAGGCTTGCAGACCAGGTCAACAGACGAATATCATAGTCCCAATCCTTGTGACTTATCCTGTGAGCAAGATAAGCGGCAAAAGTACCAATTGCAGCCGATACAAAGATCAATGTGGTGCATATCCAAAAAGGCCCATACCTGCAAAAACATGTGAATTTTCATGGTTGTTAAATGAAGTAAATATTTTCATTTTATAGTACAAATATTTGGGTTTGCTTGTCCAGGTTATATAGACGATCGACTGTTTCTAATGCATGAAAATTGTAGAAATAATTGAATAATTGCCAAAAAGATCTTTCGGGTTAAAATAACCGCTAATGACTAACGGTAGAACTGTCAACTGTGACAAGGCGAGAAATATCTGAATCTCTATGATGATTGCAGAGCAACTAATTACCATTGATATTTCTAGGCAAAAGTTTGAATCTTGTCCAGAACTGTGTGGTAAATGCACTTAAGTCTCGATCAAGATCATTAGCTGCTAAACTTTAATGCCACTAGTGTTTCACATATTAGTGCTGATCTTGGCATTTGTGCATTTCCTGACATATCGAGAAATCTTGAGATGCTAGACAATGTTGCCAAAATACATCAAATGGATATCAGATTGACGAATATAAACTTGAAGTTCCAGTCTAATTAATAGCAAAAACCATACATTGCTTACAAGAAACAAAATGTGAACTGGGAATATTGATCTGAGGAACAAATATAACAAGAAGTCAAAATCAACTTACAAGTCTGGGTTGCTAGCAGTCTTCTCGTTGAAAGTCCCTCTGAAGGGAAGAAAAGAGTCTTTAATCCTCTCCAGGATATCCGATGTGTCAACATCGAAGTAGGGCTGGTAAGCAGCGATTGTGAATACCTTAAGCCAACCAGCACTTGGTTGTTCTGATGAACCAGATGAAGGCTTTGAGAACGTATCTGCACACATAGACAGACCAAAGCAATAAGCTAGAATGAAAGAGACCAAAAAACGACACAAATGACAGATTTCTAATAACCACAATAGTCTGCCATGTCAAAAGTTCAGGAAATACATCACTGTGACTGTGTTCCATCAGACTAAATTTAGACAATGATAATTTTTTTTTGATTAACCTGTATATCCGACCTGCCATACAATTTTAGGAACCATATAGAGAGCAAAACAACCATCCTTGAGAGTTTGAAAGACAAACTTCAGGGTCTAGACTGGTTTTGTTTTGTAGACTATTTCAAAGTAGGTTGACAATGGTTCATTCTTTGTAATGAACCACGCAACCATTTCAACCCTACTATTCTTATGGTCTTACTTCCTATAATTGTGGAAAAGACTTGTTTACTCTCACCATAATAACTTGATCGTCCCTTCGAGAAAAGAGGTTGCTTAGGTTTTGAATATTGATTATTCATTAAACTATGATAACCTATCGGAAAAACTGTCATGAAAAAAAGAGCTAAAAACATTAGGTTTGAACTTCAACAATCAAAAGTGGAGTGGGGATTGTTTCAAACTCGTTTCATGTTCTGGTTTGAAGATTAGGGTGGTTCAAGTACTATGAACTGCATGCAGTCATTGTGCAATCCAAACGAATATGCCACTCCTCATATGAAAGCTAAATCAATCTAGTCGCCATATTGAATGGGAGAACGAAAACAAATCAATTTGGAAATACATACCATCAGCGTCACGAGGTGGTCCAGAACCGCCGGCGATCTTCCCTTGTGGTGCAGACGGTGGAAATGTTTGTAGTGTTGATTCTGTAATGAAAAACATACTGATTTTTTATGAAACGATTCAGCTAGCAGTCTAGCAACAACAAATCAAAATATACAATCATATAGCATAACCGCAGCAACGTAATGCACATTACCATTGAATTTGACGGAGACTTGTCCCGGCGGATCTGGAGCAGGCTGAAACATCAATAAAAATCAAGGTTGCGATGACATATCCAAGTGTTAAAATGCAATTGACGAGGAAGAAGAGATGTACCGGAACAGATCCGGAGGCATTCTGGTTTTGAATGCTTGTGTAATTTCCGGACATCATTTTTCCTTTCTTCTCTTCTTCAAAAAACGCTCCGAAATGAATAGGAATTCTCCTTTCTACCTCTTTATCCTTGTTTGGTCTTCAGCTCCGGTGACGGTGGCTTCGCCGGACACATACAATCTCTTTGATCGCTATTTTTCATACGAGAGAGTACTTCAAATCTTTAATTTTTCATTTGAGTAAAATTACGTTTTTAGTCCCTGTACTTTGTTGAAATTTACTATTTTTTCTCTATGTTTTTTAAATTACAATTTTAATCTATATGGTTTACGGTTTATTTTTGTTTTTGTTTTTATGATTTAACATTTATCATTGTTTTGTCTTTACGGTTTAAGTTTATTGATGATTTCAGCTTAATCATTTGATAACCCCATATATTATGCTAATTGTGAGAATTATTATCGTAAGATATTATTTTACATAATTTTTCTATCAAGGACTTAAATTTAATATATTAATTAACATATACATCTTTCACAATGTGAAATTTTTTAGTTATATTTTTTATTTCATAAACATAAAAAAGATGTTCACATTGTAAAACAAACATATGTGAAATAAACACATTGTAAAACAATATATGTTAATCAATACATAAAATTCAAAAATAGATAAAAAATCATGTGAAAAAACAAATGATGTTACTTATTCACAAGGTTATCATAATTTTATCGATTATCAAATGAAGGTCCCTTTGTCCCTTATACTTAAAGATATGAGTCAACCCATGGATGATAATTGTAATGAGTTGCGAATGATAGAGATGAAACCGTAATTTCAAAACCATAAAGACAAAATTTGCAATCTTTAATAAACCATAGGGACTAAAATGTAATTTTCTCATTTCTTTACGAGAAAAAACAAACGACCTAAGGATTCGTTTTGGGTTTTTTACTTGAATAGCGAGTAGAAGGATTGAAAATGTAAAGTATATGATAGTTAAGGGGTGCTTTTGTAACCTACTATTGAACCAAACCAAGTCTCAAATTTCAGAAAATCGTCTCCGTCTTCGGATTTCCGTAGAGAGAAATCTCCTCCTGCGACGGCCAACGCCACCACCACCACCACCGATCGAATTCCGAAATCGATCGTTTTGGGAAAATGCAACCAACAAACCCTACCTTGTCTGATCTTTATGCTCATCAGCGCCAGCACCCAACCTCGCAGTACTATTCTCATTTCCCCCCTCAAAACCCTAACCCTTATCCCCTTCATCTGCACCGCCAATTGCAAATCGAATCGCAAATTAGCAGCGCCGCGATGAATCTTGATCCGCCTGCCTCTAACACGTATTTTACGACGTATTCCGTTAATCCTGCCGGTGGCGCCTACAATGCTCACCATGCCAGTGGCGTGACCTACTCTCAGACTATTGGTGTGGCACCACCGCCTGCTTATGCAGCGGACCTGTTGGTGCAAAATTGGCCGTCAGAGGAGTCTGTTCAGCAATACGCAAACACTCTATATGCAACCGTAAGTCCATCTGCACTTGTTATTACGACTCCCCCTCCATTATTTAGAGCCCATTTCAAATTTCATAATTCAATCTTATTTCTCGTTGGGTACATCTTTAAACTTCCTTGCTCGTGCTCTAGTAACCGGCTAAATTGGAATTTCAGCTAGATCCCGTGACATTGTGCTATGATTTGCATCACGAAGTTTAATATTACTGTAGATTCAGATAGTGTGGCCAAGAATCGGTAGTAGAGCGACCATTGAGATTGAAAAATGTTGGTTGTAAATAGTAGCAAAATGTGTATCAATTTTTGCTTGAGCTAAGAACCATGCCTGACATTACAAAGTTGAAATGTGGCTGGCCTTCTTTTTTGAAACAGAGCATATAAGAGCTCTAACCCATGAACTAAGAGGGTGGTTGTGGTTCAACAGCTATGGAAATTATGCTCTCAATTGCATCTTACCATAACACTATTGCATTGGAAGTAAAGTGTTATAGCTGGGAACTATGCTGTTAATCCGGCCGCAATAGCGGTGCTATAGCGGTTAGTGGCCTTTAGGAGAATAGCACTGCAACATTACGTTGCCGCTAATAGTGGCGCCATTTGCAATAGGCCAATAGTGGTGCTAAATCCTTGTTTTGTTGTGCATGAATCTTTTACTTTAGTTGGCCTAGTTAGTGTTCTGCCAAACAGCTGGGCTATCTTTTGCTCTGTTCTTTTACATTTAGGTTAAGATTCCTGTTCTCGACCAATCGACGTTACTCTGGGCTTGAGCAACGATTTGTTCTTCTCTGATTCTCCCTCAATCGCACCTGTACTCTGAAGAAACAGTTAAGATTCACAACTTCACGGCCTCAATTCGTGGCTCTCAATCTGTGAATCGTTCTTCTCTTCTCTGATTCTGTTCATGACTCAGCCTTCAGGCCTAGATAGACTTTTGATTCCCAAACAAAATGCTATTTTCTTGATTTCTTGCGTAGCAAATATAGAATGTTTATAATTTAGATTAATATGATTTGTATGTAAAACACAAACAAATATAGAACGTTATAATTTAGTTTAGTATGATTTTCATGTGGAACAAAAACTAATAATATGGTAAGTTATACACCCACCCACCCACCCACCCACCCACACATATATATATTTCTAAAATTTTAATTCTTATATGAACCGCTATTTTTGACTGTTATGCACTACTTTACCATCACTATAATCGCTATATCAAATCACAACGATTCAAAATTTGACTGCTAGAACAACATAGGCCGAGAAAAATCTTATTATTGCAGATCATCATAAATGGTTGCTAATTCGTTTAGTTATTGAAAACAAATATTTAGATAATTAATTGATTAGTGATATGGTCAATGTTAAATTGTTAATATTACAATTGAGTTAATGTGTTTTCTAATCATCATCTTTGTAGTTTAGTGGCAACAGTACATTGTACTTGTTAAATTTCAACACGAAGAAAAGAACACTAAAGTATACGAGGGTTTGCCATCCTACTAAACATCCTAGTTTTAGTTTCATTGAAAGATAAGTATTGGAAGTTGCCAAAAAAATGCTCATATGGACATATTTAGTTGTTACGTTTTTCAATTTAGCAAGTACAATGGTTAGTTTGTCGCTAAACTAAATATGATTGTTAAAAAACTTATAAACATCACATAATTGAAATTCATTAGTTCATTGCTGGGGATATGTGTGTAGTTAAGTAGGGTGCTCTTGGGTTGGGTTAATCGGGTTGAAGACATTTGAACAACCCAACCCAATGCTTGTGGTTTGGAAAATCTCAACCCAATCAAACCAAACGAAAGTGCAACTCCCCAACCCAAACCGTACGGGTTGTTGGGTTGATACTTTGGTACATCAAAATATTCTCAGTTTTGGATATGTTGTTTTCTCTTAGTCTACTCATAATTTTTTTCATCATCAACCATTTGGTACAACTTATCCATGCTTCTTAAATCTTAGGTATATCACATTCAATTAATTTTCTCAATTTGCATATATATATATATGTATGTATATATATGTTCATAGTTACTGAACATATACACAAAGGAGCTAGTTATATAGAGATGGAGAATGGATCGAAAATATATGTATATGAAGAGGGTACATGATGATGTCATTGTGTAATGTACATATTAATAGAGACTCAACAATCATATTAAATCCAAAAAATAAAAGGATATCGGGCATCGGGTTGGGTTGGGTTCAAATAAAAGTAACCCAATATCAACCCAATAATTACGGTTTGAAGATTTTACAACTTGATTAGACATCGAGTTGCTTCGGAATGATTTATTTCGTGTTGGGTTGGGTTGGGTTGATCGGGTTGGTCAGGTTTTTGAGCATCCCTAGTTAACAACATAGATATATTTGTGCCTGCTGCAACCGACGAGAAGATATATACATATATTGCTCCACTCATTTCTGATTTTACTGAAACTTAGACTGAATGCTTGTTTAAAATGTTTGGGTCTCCCTCTGTGCCATCTCTTAAAAAGAAGCAAATTTAACTGTAGCCGTCTGGTGATCGCTTTAAAGGAAATAAAATACGTAGAAGGCTAATCCTATCGATTGCTGGGTCAGTTTTTTCTACCTTACCTTAGCGGAAGTGTTCATCGATAGACCGCGTAACTCGTGCAAGTACCAAAGAACTGTAGTTTCTCTCCTGATATTTCAAGTGGAACAAGTTGTAAGTGTGGCGTGCTTGAGTCTGAGCGCTTTTGTATTTGGTATACGAAGTTTAGGATCTTCATGTGTTCAAATGTTTACCTAGCTTTTGCCCTACTAGTGAATTATCCAATTCTATATTTATCACCCACATACAAAAGCTTGTAAGAATTGATGCAGGTGTATGCGGCATAGTATTCTGCAAATGCTATTTTATGCTTCAGATACATACATTTGTAGTAGTTCATCTGTAAGATTTGTTTCAAGCCCTCGCTAGAGAAATCACCATCTGTTCGGTGCTTGGATGAGTGAAATTGTTAACGTAGGCCATGATTTCCTGCACTCTATATGCTACTCCTGCCTGCATGCTGATCAAGGGGGAAATTGTGATGGATTTTGGGATAGCAATGCTTAGTACATAAGGATGCTGGTTTCTAGAGGCCACCTAAATATGTCATTTGGTCCGTATAGGCTACCTTCTCAAAAAAGAGTTCCAAAGAGACCACCATATCTAAGAATAAAGTTCTAGTTGCATGGCAGTGGCAATTTTTCGCCAAAACTCACTTAAAGCACCTATATTGTCCACAGACTTTGATTTGGGAAAGAGATGTGTCAATAAGTTGAAATAATAATCCATTGGGACAACAGATTCTGAGGCCACCCATTTGCTCTTATAGATCTCCAGACAAGTTCCAAAGAAGCCATCCAATTTTGGAAATGCCTAAGTTTACGCCTAATTTACTTCTAAGAAGCCTGCTCCTGTGCCTCATTCCTTTCTACCCATCAACCCTTCACGAGCACCAGGTTGAATGAGGCTACTTTAAAATGATGTTCTAACTTCTAAGTTTAAGAATAATGGTAGTACAAATTTCAGTAAATTCACAATAAAATAGTTCTAATCTGGACTCTGGAATCTTCAGCCATGAAAGAAAGATGATTTTCGCTAGATAATGTTCAAATGGCTCCATTATCTTTCTCTTAGGGATACCTTTTGAGAGCATGCAGATGGCTCCAATCCTGCTTAGCAGAGACTTGCTTATTTAATGGACGAGGTGTTTGGCTGAGCGGGTCGTGGAAGTGGAATGGGAAGGCAGAGGCGGAGGACAGAGGGAGGGGGATTGATGGAAGGAATAAATATTGCAACTTGAGCAACATGCTAAACTCAATGACTTTCTTCAAGCATTTTAGGGAATGGGAATCTATACCAATCAAAGTTGTCAAAAGTAATTAGGAACTCAGATAGCAAAGCTGGTTTCATGGGCTTGATGGAGAATTCAGGGGCTTTAAGCGACTCTGACTAGCGTATGCTAAGATTGCATTTTAAGAGCAATTGTTAAATTGGGTGTTCCTTTTGAAACTTCTTTCGGGGAGGATGATATATGCAGGCAAAATGTTTAGTCAGTTGGCCTTCCTATTAATCGTCTCATTTTTATTTTTCTTTCCAGGAGAGAACCTTTTTCCTCCATATCAAACATTGTGCATTTGATTAAGTGACCGATCCTGCAATGTTTGCAGGTTGGAACAGTAACTCAAGATGGCTTACAACAGCTACCATCTGCAATTCCTACCCCTAGTGGATGGACCAACCCAACCTTCCTTCCTCGTGGGCCTTGGAAAAAGCTCCCAAAGAAAACAAAAATTGCTCAGTCTGCCTGGTGTGAAATCTGTAAGATTGAGTGCAACACCAAGGATGTTCTTTATCAACATAAGTTGGGGAAGAAACACTTGAAAAATCTGGAAAAATTGAACTCAGTTTCTTCAGTTGCCACTAGTTCCTTCATCCCCCATGTCCATCCGGCAGTGCCAAGCAACCCAATCATTGGACCCCCGGAAAACCCAAAACTTGTCAATCCTGTTCCAAAAAAGAAGAAGGCCGAGACTCCAGAAGACTTGGAGATGAAGAGAAGGAAGGTATTGGAAGGCGGGGCCGCTGCGAATGCCGTTAGAACTTGTAGAATTTGCAACGTAATTTGCAACAGTGATACCGTTTTCAGATTCCATCTTGCGGGACAAAAACATTCTTTCATGTTGAAGAAATTACAAGGTGCAGGGATGACTGGTTTGGTTTGAACAACGTGAGCATTAGCATGCATATTCTTATTGTCTATCTTGAGATATGATGAATATTTACAGCACTTGAGAATGTTTTTTCATCTTCTATTGCGTTCTGATAGGGATAAAGTTAGTTAGAGGGTTTGTTGTTAAAAAATTTGACATCTTTATTATCAATGATCAACCATGCATGATGTAACATCATCTCATATTTGTTGGATTTTGGTGATATCGACTTAGCAAAGGTAAAATTCTGCTATGATGATTCCCTGTTCTTGCTAATTGCTACGATGATCTACTAAACAGTCGATGACAGAGACGAGATACAAAGTTTATAATGGCATATATGTAACAAAAGGTGGAGCTTTTGAAATGGCATGGTTGACATGTTGAATTATGAGTTGTATAGCAAGTAAGATTCTTGAAGCTTTTATAATTAAAGCATATAATAAGATTGGAATCATACTAACGTTGTCCCCCTACACTTATTCAAACCATGTGCCCCCTTGCTTTTTTTTGTGTGCTCCTCGTCATCTCTGTCCCACATACCTTCGTTGTCTTTGTTATTAGTTTAGTTTTCTATTAAGTTCTGTATCTATCTATATAAATTAAGAAATATTTTATTTGGAATGAGTTTTCCATATATACGAAGAATGCGTTTTCCAATTGGGAGGGGCGGGTTTGGCAAAAATTTGACTTTCTACATAAAGTTCTTCCTAGAAGCTTACTGTATAAGCTACATTTTATATCATGAAGGCATTACCAAACAGTCTGACCGAATAAGCTGTGAGTCTTATTAAGCTTATCAAGTTGGTAACAAGTAGGCCCTAATCCATCTCCATCGAAAAAGTTCGTTACGGCTTGTCTTGATATTTTACAAACCAATATATCTATACTATATTATAAAATATTTGATAAAAACTCTTAAAAATCATTTTTTACGTATGAAGTATTATTTAATGATTCATACTACTTAAAATTCAAGATTACATGTAAATTGTATTAAGTACAACTTATTAATACTTCATGTTTGAATTCGTGTAACTAACTACAGATAAATATAATCAAATACAAAATAAACATTTCATTTTAATTATAATTAGGATAATCATTGACTTTTAACAGAATAAATAATTATTATCCCTATAAAAATTATATTTAAATAAATTATTTCGTTATTGAATATAAATTAAATTATAAAAAAAAATTAATTAAAAAATTACAAAAAAACCAATAACTTTTAAATAGTTAATTTGATACTAATATCGATATATTTATTTTCAAATTTATATTTTATTCAAAATAAAAACATTATGTTTTTCTCAAAACCACATAAACCGTATTATAACATCTACCGAGACAAAAAAAAAATGAAATATTAAAATCGATATATATCTCAATGCATTCAACAAATACCTTTATAATAATTATAAAAATACGAGTTTAAAATCGCTGCGTTAAACATTTGGGGATTTTCATTTCACCAACCTGGTTATCATTTTACTTATTTATGATGTCTGTTTATAAAAATATTATTATTTTCTTCTAATAATAAACTTTAAAAACGCGACAACTTTTGATTAATTAAAATTTGTTGACAATGATGGATTTTATGACGTAATATCTTTTTTTTAATAGTATTACTTTTTCCAGACAAAAACTTTAAAAGACAATGACTTTTTATTTTTTAATAAAATAAATTATTTTATAAATTGACTGATTTGTATGACTACATTTTTATTTCCAAAAAATACATCATGAAATAGTGTAGTAGAAAATCTCATCTATTTCGGGTTCAGGTTCAAAGTCCTTGTAACCATAAAGGTTTATTTGTGATGATTCCAATCTATTTATGGTCGTTTAAGAGATTAATTGGTAGTATGTCCACTCGAAAACTGTCGGTTAAGAAAAAGAAAAAAAAACTATAAAGTGTATTTAAGTCCAAATTGACGTGTTAAACTTCCAATTTGTTAAGGTGTCACAAGTGAAGATGACATGTTTGAATTTTGATGCCTAATTTTCGATGAAATACTCGGATGTACAGGATCGAACCTAAGATTTTTGATGTCCTGTGTGAAAATAATAAAATATGTTCCTAACCCTATTTTTTTAAGCCAACAAAACATGTGATTTTTTAAAGAGTTTATAACTTATTCAAGCTAATTATCTCATCCTCATGTTGATTTTTATATATACTATATTATAAAGCATTTGACAAAAACTCTTAAAAACCACTTTTTATGCGTAAAATACTGTTTATTAATGCATATTACTTAAAACTCAAAATTGCAAGTAAATTGTGCGTATGTACAACTTATTAAAGCTCCATATATGAATTCGTGTAACTAACTGCAGATAAACATAATCAAATACATAATAAATATCTCATTTTGAATATAAAAAATATAAAATATAATTAGGATAATCATTGTATTCTGACAGAATACTTAACTATTATTTTTATAAAATGTAATATTATTAAACCAAAAATAAATTATTTCGTTATTAAACTTAAATTATAATAAAAAAATAAATTAAAGAAATTATATAAAAATAAGAACTTTTAAATAGTTGATTTGATATTAACATTGATATAACTTTTTCCAAATTTTTATGATATCTTCAAATTTATATTTTATTAAAAATAAAATCATTATTGCTTTCTTAAAAACACATAAAATCGTATTATAACATCGACAGAGACAAATAATAAAATAGAACATTAAAATTGAGATGTCTCTCGCTGCAATGAGGTGAACATAAAATCCAAAACCCCGAATAGAAAATATAAATGATAAACGTGTTTTCTTCTTTTCTAGTTTTCCCTTTCCCAAATTAAAATTAGCAAAATAGAAACTTTATTTCAATATTGGACTTAAAAGACAAGAAAAATTATAATTAGTTTTTAACTAAGATAGTAAATTACATTCAAGTTAGTACTGTCATAGTAAGCAAAAAGTAAACTCAAAAGTTACAGATTTAATGACTAAAAATTAAAGGCCTATATGTTAGCAACTTAATAAGTTTAATGGAACTAACATCTTATTCGCTAAACTATGCATGATTGTTTCGTAGTTGCTTAATGATATAGAAAGTGACTTATCCAATAAGCTTCTAGGGGGAGCTTTATATAGAAAGCCAATTTTTTTTTTCAAACATGTCCCTTCCAATTAAAAAAACGGTCTTTACATCTGCGAAAAAGCTCTCTCAAACAAAAACTTTTCCAACTTATACAAACAAATTAATTCATACAGACAACTCTATACAAACAAAAACTTTTCCAACTTTTCAACTTTTTCCAACGATGTGCATTCAATATTTATCATTACTAGGCCTTGGGCCTTTTTTATAGTTAAAGCTCAATTGTCCAATTTTCAAATTATTAAACCCAAAACTATCAATAAATGACAACTTGATGCCCATTTAGGTTTTGATGCCCTGCGGCACGTGGCCAGGGCCGGCCCTGTGGATGTATTTTCTAATTAACTTGAATATCCAACCCGCTATACGAGCCGACTAATCTTAGGATGACCATCTATTTTGCGGGTAGTCCGAAGTCACCGTATTTGAACTTTCGTTTCCACAAGGAAATTTTTTTTTTCTCCTTGAATTTGAACATGTGACTTCCAAATATTTTTGACCTTTGGAGTCCAAGTTCTATGGATGAATTTTGTATGCTTTTGATCACTATAATACAAATCGATATAAATTAATAAGAGTTATAGTGATAATTATCAAATCGATTGTGATGTCAGAGCATCTCGTTTTATGGATCCCATTAATTCTTTCAAAATCAGTAATATATATTAATGATTATTAAGTCAAGAAAATAAAATAGAAAAGACGGAAAATGTCACTTTTCACAAACTTCATAGAAAGAATTAAGAACCAAGGTTTTTGTATAAGCATTTGGAGGGGATGAGGTTCTTATAAGAACTCCCACAATGGTAGTTTTTACAAGCACTCCCACAATGGTAGTTTTTACAAGCCACTGCGTTTTTTTGCTAATAAGAACCTTGCATTGGAGATGCTCTAAGACGACTAACATAAAATTTGGTATTCTACATCAAAAGGTTTTTGATCTAGCGTTATCCGGGTTATCAGTAGAGTCTAACGTCTCAAAAGGTATATGGTTCAAATCTCATCAAATACGAGAGTTCATGAATTTATTTGTTGTGTGTGTGTGTGTGTGTGTGTATATATATATATATATATACATACATTATATTTGAGACAATGGTATTCACATAGATATAAAGCAACTTTACAAAATTTGAGAGGAAGGAGGAGGGAGGCAACGACAATTTCACTTTGAGAGGGTTTTCTATTTTGTTTTTAAGAAGCGTGAATCATAAAAGCAAGAAAGGAAAAATGAGAACTGAATACAAACCACACCCTTTTATCAGCTGATCGAATAAGCCATCATCTGTTTCATTAAGCCACAACCGAACAACCTTGTATGGCTTACCGAATAAGCCATACATTCTATACAACTTATTAAGCTGCTACAAAACAACCCCTAAGTGTTATCACTATACTGCATAACACAATTACTATGTGTCCATTTTGTTATTATATGCACCGTTTGATTTTTTAGTAAAAATAAAAGTTATAATTTCATATCTCTATATACACACTAAAACCACAAATGTCTTTCTGATTCATTTTCTTCATTAAGACAGTTTTCATGTCTTTCTGATTTATTTTTTTAACATGTCGGTGGCAATAAATATATATTCTTTGAGGTAGGAAAAAGTGTCTGTCCAAATTTCACCAATTAATTTCACTTTTAAATATGATATATTACATTTAATTTAATTTAATTATTAAGTATATAGATGTGTGGGTGTGGGTTGGTGGAACCATAGAAAAACATAGTCATAAGACCCAGTTTTGCCTAATCATCGAATATTTTAATTTAATAATTTATATTATTTATCAAACATTTAAAAAATTATAAAATAAAAGAAACCTTATTATATTTTCAATATAAAAACAAATGTATTTTTTATGTATATAGAATGACATTTGTCTTCGATATATTTAAAATATATGTGTAGTCATTTTATGATACTTAAAATAATATCCAAGTCATTTTCTTCGACAATAATCATAAGAGTATTGTTTGATTGGTTTGAACTTGGATTCCAAATGTCTAAGGCCTCATACTCGAATTCAAGAAGGAATAAAAATCAACTTGTAGCCACGGAAGTTCAAAAGTCGTGAC